AAAAAAAAAAAAAAAACAAAAAACTCATTCATGCTATTTGAATTTATCTTAATCTTCCTCCTAATGTAAAATAGGAATCCAAGATACTCATCCTAGTACACATATGGCAGGTAGAGCATGCGTGTGTTTGTGGGTGTAATCAAATTCAAGCCAAATCAGCAAATGGGTAATGCACTTCTTATTCATGAAGCAACAAATTCAGTTGTTTCTTTTTCTGAGATTATAATTTTTTTTTTTTTTGAGACTATGTCGCCCTTAGTAGACTGCTGTAGCATCACAGCTCACAGCAACTTCAAACTCTTGGGCTCAAGTGATCCTCTTGCCTCAGCCTCCCAAGTCACTGGGGCTACAGGCACCCACCACAATGCCCATCTATTTTTTTGTTGAGGTTGTCATTGTTGTTTGGCATGCCAGGTTCAACCCCTCAGCCCCAGTGTATGTGGCCAGCACCCTAGCAACTGAGCTACAGGCACCCACCCTGACACTATAATTTTCAGTCAGCTCCAAATATATAGAAACTGAAAAAAATCTTTTGCTATGTTGTTTTTTTTTTTTCTTGCCCCCAACCAACCCGGAGCTATGGCCCAGGGGAGTCCCAAATATTCGCCTCCTCCTCAATCTCCTGGTATGTTGTTTTAACTTACCCAACTCTGATATAGAAAGTTGGGGAAAATCATAGAAAGGCAAAAGAAAATATCAAACCAGGATGACTTAGCATTATTATTTGGGAAAAACATGAGCCATGTTTCAACTCTGTGATTACTAACTTTAGCTTAATTTACTCTGAATTTAAAAGGACAAGCAGCAACCAAGAGCAACATAAGCATGTCTCAAGATCACAAATACATTCTACTTTTTTTTTTTAACCTAAAGGGATCTTAACTGCAGATGCCTTTCAAAAAATCTTACAATGTGTAAAAAGACAGACACTTACATTCTTGCAAAACTTTTATCAAGGTCAGAGAAAGACAAGTAACAACTAATAATGCAGTTCAAAATTCAAAAGTGCTTAAAAAGAGAAGTGGATACAAATAACATGCTGGAAGCACAGAACTAATTACTCAACAGATATTTGTGAATCAGGTACTCTATCACAAATGCCACGTGAAGCACTAAAACTATAGTCAACCGACAAGAAAAGGAATCTCTGTCCTCTACAGTGGCTAAGGCACAGACACTGAACAAGTGAATTTAAATACAATTAAGTATTACATAAAAGTAAAAAAAAAAACAATGAACACACACACCCACAGAGAGGATGAGACTGATTTTGTCCAGACGGACCAAGGAAAACTTTTTTTTTTCCTGAGACAGAGCCTCAAGCTGTCCCCCTGGGTAGAATGCTGTGGCATCACAGCTCACAGCAACCTCCAACTCCTGGGCTCAAGCGAGTCTGCTGCCTCCGCCTCCCAAGTAGCTGGGACCACAGGTGCCTGCCACAACACCCAGCTATTTTTTTGGTTGCAGCCCTCATTGTTGTTTAGTGGGTCCGAGCTGGATTCGAACCTGCCACCTTAGGTGTATGTGGCTGGTGCCTTAGCCACTTGAGCCACAGGCACCAAGCCAGGACCAAGGAAAACTTAAAGACTAAGAAATATTTTAATAAGCAGAAAACCTATTAGATTTGCAATGACAATAGAGAGGGTAAAAACCAAACCAAGTGGGATAACAAGTAATATTAGGAAGTAGAAGCAATAAACACACTACTATCAAAAATTAGAAGGGAAAAGGGGATGGAAGGGCTTGTTGCTGGCATGGTTTAAAACTAAATCAAAGAGTAAATGGGAGTTCTGTCCCTTCATACAGAAAATTCTTTATCTGAACAATGTGGGATACAGATAGGCAAAAATTTTTCAAACCAAGGAAAAGTTCTCTAATCCAGACACAAACACACTCAAACAAGAACAATCTATTTAAAAATTTTACAACAGCGAGGCACAGAGGTTTATGCCTCCCAGCACTTTGAGAGTCCAAAGCAGGAGGATCACTTGAGGCTAAGAGTTCAAGACCAACCTTGGCAATGCAACAAGATCTCATTTCTACAAAGAATGTTTTAAAAATTAGCTAGGCGTGCTGATGCATACCTATAGTCCTAGCTGCTCTGGAGGCTGAGGCAGGAGGAACCCTTGAGCCTAGGAGTATAAGCAGTGAGCAATGACCATTCGCCTAGGTGACAGAGCAAGATCCTGGCTCTAAAAATCATACAACAGGGCTCAGCACCCATAGCACAGTGGTTATGGCATTGGCCATACACACCAAGGTTGGTGGGTTCTAAGCCCACCCAGGCCAGCTAAACAACAATGATGACTGCAACAAAAAATGGCCAGAGGTTGTGGTGGGCACCTGTAGTCCCAGCTACTTGGGAGTCCGAGGCAAGAGAACTGCTTAAGCCCAAGGGTTTGAGGTTGCTGTGAGCTGTGATGCCACAGCACTCTCCTGAGGGCAACATATTGAGAACTTGTCTCAAAAAAATAAATAAACATCATACAATAAGAAAAAGTTGATCAAGCTATTCCCCTTTCAGCCTAAAGATTATATTCATTGCTTCAAAAGAAAACTGAATCAGCAGGTTTTTAGGCCCACAAAGAGTATTTCTACCATAAAATACATCACTAATTTAGGATTTAACCTTGAGACTAAAACAATATAATTAAAATCTCCTACTCTGAACTTTCAAAGAAAAACCAATACTATTTAAAGACGTGGTCAGTTAAAGTAAAGCACACAGCCTGCCTCACAGGCAGACTCAGGATAGTGATTAGGATAACTCACAAAAGACTCTCAAAACAGGAACATAAACTTTCTGCTGGTAACACCTCTTTCTCTGGAAACCACTCTCTACTCAGCAGTGGATCAGAAACATTGGTCTACCATCCCCAAAATGTCTCCAAATTGTCAAGCAACTTATGAAGCCTGACTTCTCTTTTGACTTATGAAGCCTGATGAGCGAGCGAGCGAACGATGCAAGTATGGGTATGGTCAAAACATAGACTTATTCATACTCATGAATATATCCAGTCCAATTCTCTCCTAAAACTTTTAGTTACCAGCCATATAAATGGCTCTGATCACTGTCTTTTTTCTTTTTAATATTAAAAGCTGTAAATGTGAGATCCATTGCCACCTGTGAATGATACTGAGTAAAGATACTGAGTAAAACAGATATCGTTAAATCCAAGGATGACTTCACTGTGCTACTCAGAACGACTGTCGGCCTTTTCATAAAACCACCATTTAGTGTGATCTGTCAGAATGTAAACCAATGTTAACAAGCAGTCTGAGAACTTGCTGCAGTAAATCTCTGTATTCTAACAGAAAACGTATTCATGAGACACTGTCAACTGAAAAAAGCAATTACTGCAGAATAATTATGATTTCATTTATATTACAGTTATATATTTGCATATAGGTGTGCTTAAAAAAATGGGTGGATGCACATTAAACAGTTAACAGCTACAGGTAGAAAAAAGAATAAAGAGTATAAGAATGATAGAAGGGACTTTGTTAACAAAAATACATAAACACATACAATGTTTAAAGACCATGTACAAATGTATACAAATAAAACCTACTTCTTAAAAAAGCCATCAAAACAAATTACTTATTAAGGTCAATCTGTTGAAAAAATTACCTAATTTCATGTATGTTGAGAACTTTCTAAGGCACATTTGTCCTCCAATAATAAATACAATTGTCATTTGTATTGCATACAAAATTATTTCAACTTCGTTCTATAATAAAAACATCTGTACTTCTCTAGTTTATACTTGTTCCCTTCCACACTATACAACAGCAAATGTCAACTCCCAGTCACTAGTACAAGGTGGGAGGATCACTTGAGGTCAGGAGTTCAAAACTAGGCTCGGCGGCTCGGCGCCTGTGGCTCAAGCGGCTAAGGCGCCAGCCGCATACACCTAAGGTGGCGGGTTCGAATCCCCAGCCCGGACCCGCCAAACAACAATGATGGCTGCAACCAAAAACTGGCCAGGCGCTGTGGGGGGCGCCTGTGGTCCCAGCTACTTGGGAGGCTGAGGCAGGAGACTCTCTTGAGCCCAGGAGTTGAAGGATGCTGTGAGTGTGATGCCATGGCACTCTACCCAGGGGGATAGCTTGAGGCACTGTCTCAAAAAAAAAAAAAGACTAGGCTCAGCAATGCTGTAGGTTACAAAGAAACTATTCCTGCCATCAGGCCTTAAAACAAGCTACAAGCTACAAAAATGCTCTTAACATTAACTGACAGATAGCTCTACTCTTAAAAACTGTTTATCTTGGGCAGCGCCTGTGGCTCAAAGGAGTAGGGCGTCAGCCCCATATACCAGGGGTGGTGGGTTCAAGTCCGGCCCTGGCCAAAACTGCAAAAAAAACCAAAAAAACCCCCCAATTATCTTGCCCCTACCCACTTTAGTATTTAATGCAAAGAGGTTTTTCTCAAGTGTGAAATGTCCTCCACGTGAGCTGATAGCTTTCCCATACTTAGAAAAAAGTTTCAGAGACACTCCAGCCAACATGGAAACAAATTACAATAGAGTTTATAAGAGCTACCCTAAATGACTTAACAAAGCCTTTACCGAAGATTTCACTTTTACATTCCGACACAGTTTGAAGAAATGTGTTCCATTATCATAGTATTGTTCTGAGCCAAAATTTAAGGGTTTTTAAATGGAATTTTCCCCAGAAGCTACACTTGTGTGCAATGAAATGTACAGTTCAATTATTATAAAATATTTATAAAAATACTGAGTAGAATAATGTCCAGGATAAAAGGCATTAAATGTTTAGAGACTTACCTCATCACAGTCTCCTTCCACCATGGCATATATAGCTTTCTTAACCAAGTTAGTACCTAGAATACAGATTTGAGTATTAACGAAGGAAAAATTTAATTTAAGATCTCTAAATTATGATATTCATAAGCACAGAAATGTCAAACATCGGGGTCTATCCTGAATCGCAGATACATAGATTACCTCAAACTAAGTGGGAAAAACTTACACATAAGCTTATAAAGGCCAACAGAATCTACATAACAATGTAAGTTTTTTCTTGAAAGACCTATCTCCTACTATGGTATAGTCCTTTTTCACACAGGTACTGAATTGCCCCAAGTAGAGGTTTATTCTATCATTTAAAGGTAGACAAGGAAAGGGATAAAGAAAAAGGTGAGATACGGCATGGCCAGAACAATCTAGGATCTCACCGAGCTGGCCAGAACTTAACTGCCTTCACCTGAGGTGACCTTGCCAAAGATCTTCCAAACCTCTGATTACAGAGCACAAGAGAGCCTCACCAGAAGTGCTGTGTCCCACAGCAAGTCCAAGAGATTAGGTCAGTTCCTACAAACTTTGTAGAACCTGGAAACAATGAAGTCTGGTGCTCCCAATGATGTCAATGGTATGTCTATAAATGTCTAGCAAGATGTGTCCTAGTTTGGGGTTAGATATAGCTGGTGCATTAAAGGGGGAAAACAACCTGCCAAATCTAATTTTAAAAGAAAGACAATTTTTATTTTAAAACTCTCTTAATTTTCAAACTGCACATGAGTATGCATATATTTCATGGGCCAAACAAAATGTGTCTGAAAGCCAGAATGCAACCTTACAGCCACTGATTTCTACCCTCCAAACTAGCCAACAAATGCCTATTATTTATCATGAGTCCTTATCAGCTCTCTTTAATGAACCAAATTTACCATCTGTAAAACAGCCTGATGCATTAATAGTGTAAAGCTATAACATCATAAGGAAACTTGGTTAAAGCTAACATTAATAAATCTATTGTAATAATTTCTCATAACATCTAAAACTGTGTGAAGCAGTCTTATGTTGGACAATAACATTCACATGGTTTACAAAAAGATATAATTAACAAAACTGATAATAATTAAATACTGGTATAGGAACCAAACATTCTTTCACGAATACTCACTTATTTCATGTATACATCCCAGAATTTGACATCTCAGACAAGTGTGCATCTACCTGATCCTAAACTAGGAATGCAGAGACAGTAGGTCCCAGACATCGAAACAGTGGTGGTTTTTTGGTTTTTTTGAGACAGAGTCTCACTTTGTCACCCTTGGTAGAGTTCCATGGCACCGTAGCTCACAGCAACCTCATACTCTTAAGCTGAAATGATCCTCTTGCCTCAGTTTTTCAGTTTTAGTAGAGATGGGGTCTCACTCTTGTTCACGTTGGTCTCAAACTCCTAAGCTCAAGGAACCCACTCACATTAGCCTCCCATAGTGCTGGGATTATAGGCATGAACCACCACCAAGAACAGTGGTTCGTAAGCAAGCTTACATCACTGTCACCTAGGGAAGCTTCATCCTTACCTCCGATAGGACAAAAAAAAATCTTAGTGGGGAAAGGCTTAAACATTTGTTATTAAACCACTCAGATGATTCTAATGACCACTGGAAAAAACACACCCAAGTTATGAGAGAGTTTGAGAGGAATAAAAAATAGTAAGACTGTCTTCTCTTGTTCCTCCCTGAATCACAAGATAATGTTTGATTACTAACGTAAATAACAGTAACAATTTCTCCCTAACTTTGGTTTGACTGAGGTCTACTTAACCCAAGTACAGAAACTGCTTGAGGGCTGAGGTCAAGCACTCCCATACTGTTTTTAAGAAGCACAGCACTTCTTGTAGTACTTAGTATATATAATACAAAGCACTTTACGTGTGATCCCAAAAAAAGTTTAGAGGTGAAAACTGATCACCTAGTACTTGTTAAAAAGATAACCTCTCAAACAAAACATTAATTAAAAAATTCATTTAAAGAACTTTTGAAAGTATTATTTTGAAATAAAAAATAGTCTTAATTTTCTTCCCTTAGCTTCATTTTCATTTCTATTTATTTACATTTAGGTCTTTTATTTCAAAGTACAAAAATGAAAATAGCTATGCATTCTTTTAGCAAAATAATATTTTTCTTACCAATGCCATTTCTCCTGTACTTGGAATCCACGGCTAACATGGCTATATAACCTCTGCGGAACATCTTTTTGTGCATATCCAACTTGCAAACGATGGCACCTACACACTCCTCCCCTACCATGGCCTTAAAAATAAACAAACAGTTATGAAGAATACACTGCCATCATGCATTGCACAATTTCCCAGAGAAAACAGCAAGCAACTGTCGGGTCAGCATTTTTGAAAAAGAAAGAGATAATGGAAACTCTAGCAAGAAAGCAATCACAAATGTTTCAGAATCTAAATCCTCTAACTCCTTCAAATGTTCGTTCTCATTTTAAAATCTCTCAATATTCTTAGAACATCAATTTCTTATGTTTATCATTAAAACGTGGAGAAAATAGGCAAGATTTCCACATGGTAAACATCCAAGTACTTCCTAATACATGAGGTGCTTGTGACTACTGGCAATAAAGACCTACGTAAGTGTTGGGAAGAGGGAATATATGAATAAAATTCTTTAACTTTTTTTTTTCCTTTTTGAGACAGGGTCCATTCTGTCACCCACACTTAAGTACAGTGTCCCAATCATAACTCACTGTAACCTCAACCTCCTAGGCTCAAGTAATCCACCTGCCTAAGCACCACCATACCTGGCTAATTTTCTCAAAAAAATTTTTGTAGAGGCTGAGCACAATGGATCACACCTATAATCCAGCACTCTGGGAGGCTAAGGTGGGTGTATTTCCCTAGCTCAGGGAGTCTAAGACCAGCCTGAGCAAGAGTGAGACCCCATCTCTACTAAAAATAGAAAAACTGAGGCAACAGGATTGCTTGAGTCCAAGAGCTTGAGGCTGCTGAGAGCTATGACGGTGCTATGGCACTCCACCCAGGGCAACAGAGTAAGACCCTCGTTTTTTTGTGGAGAAGAGGTATTGCCATGTTGCCCAGCCTGGTCTCAAACTCCTAGCCTCAAGTGATTCACCCACCTTGGCCTCCCAAAATGCTAGGTTTACAGGTGTGAGCCACCACAGCCAGCACAAAATTACTTTAAAGGTCTATTCATTAGAATATGATAAAATTTTGTTAAACTTCACTATCAGCAGTTTAAGTTTAAATTTATAAATTCAGTAATAAGGCTTTAGTGGAAGCCAGATATTTACACCTGAATGGGAAATAAATTTTCATCAAGAAAAAAATATAAAAAATTTTCAGAAGCAACATTATTTATAACGTATTACTGAAAATGTACCCAAGAGGTTTTGTTAGCATATGTAAATATATGACATCTCATTTTTAGCATACTCCTTACAGAGTGAATCACTGCCATAAAGTTTTGAAATATTGATAGTTCAAAATTAGAGCTCTATATTAAAACAAAAACTTTAACAATGATTTTTACAGAGCTTCTTATTTTAATAAAGATACACAGCTTTCCAGAGTATTAAAAGGCTACTTGTTAAATTCTAATCATCTTCCATTTTCATTAAGACTTCCACTACCACCACTGAAAATGTTTTTCAACAATTCCATTACTCATAGAAAAAAATGTTCTAGTTAATACCATATTCTAGTAAATACAAATAGGGCCATGTGTTCAACTATTTAACAACGTGTCACCAAGAAGTTTTTGTTTTCTACGAATTAACTTTCCGAAAGAAACTATTTCAACAACAAAACTTAGGAATATAAAGTTATTCATAGTTATGTCCAATTCATGCTTAATATATATTTTAACTTAAATTTGTGACTTTTTTTAGTCTGTCATTCTGTAAATTGATTTAAAAGCCTTTGTAGGCTCGGCGCCTATAGCTCAACCAGCTAAGGTGCCAGCCACATACACCTAAGGTGGCGGGTTCGAATCCCCAGCCCGGACCCGCCAAACAACAATGATGGCTGCAACCAAAAAATAGCAGGGCGTTGTGGCGGGCGCCTGTGGTCCCAGCTACTTGGGAGGCGGAGGCAGGAGACTCGCTTGAGCCCAGGAGTTGGAGGTTGCTGTGAGCTGTAAGGCCACGGCACTCTGTCCAGGGGGACAGCTTGAGGCTCTGTCTCAAAAAAAAAAAAAAAAAAAAGCCTTTGTAAAAAAAACTGCAGAGAAATTTTTTAGGCAAGATCATTCTAATCCATTTCATGCAAAACTAAACTAGGTCAGAAAAATATTTTTGAACAGATACTAAATTCAACAACCCATACTTTTCATTTGTTTTATCATACATTCTAAAACTATTGAGTCAATAAGCCTCCACAGTTATTTCCATTTTTCACTCACACACAAAAAAAATCTTTTAAAAAATCTTTTACAAAGTGAAATTTTTTCTGTATCAAGACCTGAAATGAGCATAAAACTTGCCTAACTAAACAACTCTTGACAGACAGTATTTTCTGATTTGAAAATAACCTATTTCAAATATATGTGTATGAACACATTCACATAGATGTACATGTATTATATATCATCGTCAAAGACTAAATGGTATATCGAAAGAGCCAGAAAAATTTTTGGCCTGACCTTGTAAGCTAGGGTCATATGAAATAAAAATATATATAAATCTGTGATATAAAACTATAGAACTTCACAACTAGTAAAGTTATCCAAGAATAAGGAAAAAATTAAAACTACTAAACACAATACAATTAGACAATACTTTCAAATTGGTCAGGAATTTCAAACAAATCTTGTCCTTTTAGCACTGAAATAATAAGCAAGCAAAATATTTTAACAGTTTATTCTCAATTGATTGATTTCTTCCTAATTACAAATCTCCAGGAACAAAAATCAGTTCCAACACATCTTCTAAAAATAAAAGCCCAATGCAAAACATTGTCACTAACTCCACGTTGGTAATGAAGAAGGCCAAAACTACATTTTTTCCCCTGCTAAATTGTTGATGAATATACAATTCACTTACAAGAATGTGTGAACTGCTTGTCAATTTTTCCAAATAAAATCTCTGCACATACACTTGAAACTCAAGCTTTAAATGTGTTTTATCAAGGATGGGAATTGAAAAATCCCTGGCAAGATGGAGACCTAACCCTACAAGGCCAAAGGCATGTCAGTTTATAAAACCATAAAAAATATAAATTGTGTGAAAGAGAGTCCCAAATTCCAGAATACTACAAATAGAAAACTAGAGGAAGCCAGGCTGTTAATTTAGAATAAACAGAAATACTATATTGCACTGCTGGTAGTAAGAAGTTCTTAAGTTTAAGAACTTCAAAAAGACTCCAACAATTGAAAATACTATAAATTCAAAAGAGGAAAAGACAAAATGGTAAAGAACACAGCAAGTGACAGTACCTTGCATTTGTATAGTATTTTGTTCTTATTTATTCCATTCTGTCAGCCAGGTTGGAGTGCAGTGGCACAATCAGAGCTCACTGCAACCTAGACCTCCAGGCTCAAGCAATCCTCTGGCCTCAGCCTCCCAAGTAGCTGAGATTACAGACATAAACCACCACCCCTGGCTGTTTTTACAACTGTTCAATTATTAAGAAGAATCGTAAGAAACTGTCACTCTTGTTAGTCAGTCAAATATTGGGAATTTTGTAAGATTCATCCCCCATATATTGACCCATTACAGGTTACCCGTGGAAACCAGGAATGTTTTGGAGGTTTCTAATCTCTTGAGATTGATATTGGTAAGGGCAACTGCCCCTTGAAGAAGATAACTTGGTAGCACAATGATCTTCACCAAATGGGTCAAAGGCATGTCATTTCCAGGTTCATATTTGTTACCATAATGAGAGGACAGGAAACTTGGTTCTAGCCTTACCTCTTTGCTACTACACAGCTCTCCATTTAAACATTTAAAAAAACTCTGGTCCTTAACACTTTTCAAAAGGCTGGACTAGATTTTCTCTAGGATCCTTTTCAGTTCTAAAATATGATTTAAAATAAATATACACATCTGTAATTTTTGAAAATTAGTTCCCATGGGAAATTTTAATTTAAAAATACACCAACATAAAGGCCCCAGTTGTAAATGGCCTCTGATTTTACTGTTTTATTGTTCAATACCTCCAAGATTCATACTTGCATTAATAAATTTTATATGTCACCAGTTATACATATTTCAATTTCTAGATATTCAGAATTTAATGTTAAACACATTTTGGCTATCAAAGGCTAAAGTACAAATTAGCTGGTGAATTAGGAGTCTATATAAAATCAAGACTAAAGTTTCCCAGCATCTGAAATGTCAGAGAAGTTAAAAGAGGCTCAGGTAATATCAGGACTCAAAAACTGGCTAAATATACATACAATTTTTTCTGAAATTGACAGAAAAACATCTATTTCGATTTAAAACGTGACTCAATCATCTACTTTTGTGGGCTAACTTACAATTAAATCACCCTACGATTTTTAGCAATGACGATAGCTTTTGATAGGGCCTTTATAATAGTACTATAAATCATTCTCTTGAATTTCTCATTGACACAAACATGTCTTAGAACTATTTGAGTACAGAATCCTGAAAAAGCAGTTTTCTAGAATATAAAATAGCACCCACAGTTTAAGCAAACATACTAAATAGAAGCTTTAGCAAGGTTAACACAGAAAACAGCACAACTACCATTATCTATAATACCCACATAATATTTTCAGATTACTGCCAAGGTATAGAATCAAAACCAGATTTTTATAGTATCATCAAAACATCTTGCAAGGCATTACTAAGTGCAACTAAGTCACTATGCTAAGATAATGCATAATCAATGGTGATGGCATTTCCCTTCATAAAATACCCCTTTAAAATATGTCACCTTTAATAAAATTCAATAGAAACAATATGCATGTATGTAACAATACATGATACAAATCATACACTTGCAGTAAGTATTTAAGTTAAAGGTTTAATGGTCAATATTACTGTGCAGAAATCACTGGCACTGCCAAAACCATGTAAACGTTTTTTTAATTATTCATCTTCTCCAATTGTCAAGTCTTTTTCACTTACATGTAAGTAAAAAAATTATAAATTATATCCCACACAGCCAGGGTTACTAGAATTCAGGCATATCTGCAACGAGTTTCTGAAAATAATAAAAGTCAGACTAGTAACAATCTCAAACCTAAGTTTTCTATATTCCACAAATGAGTATTTTGTTCAAGTTTCAGGAGCCTTTCAGCTGCCAGAGAAGTCTTAGTAGCAACTTCTGCAACGGAGCATCAGAAAGCAGGCTGGCTAAGACTGTCCTACTGAAGTAAAAGGAAACAATCTCGGTAATTACTGAACATGCCTGTAAGATTTAATTCTCCAATGTGGCCACAGCAAGTTAACTGACAATCACGTTCACCAAAACATGTTTACCCATACACTATTCCCTGATTATGGCTGTAATTGAGAGATTAATAAGGCCCGTATCTGAACAGAGCCATGTTCAAATTAAATGAGTGCAAAGTGCTTTGAGGATGAGGGCGAATAATTAAAGATGGTTAAACATGATTATAACCTAAAGTCAACAAGACACAGACCCCTCTCTGTTCCAGCGCGGGTGAAACATGCATTACACAGGCTTGCTGCATTTATACATTAGTGTCAAGTTAACCCAGACGTGGAGTCTTACCTTCAAAACACTTTCGTTAAATAGCTAAGACTGTAAACGCTCACTTTACAGCACGTAAAGCACTATGAAACGCAGACGGACACATCCCCTGCCACTCTCTCGACCCTCACACTCCCTGCCCTGCGCGGCCTGATCTCTGCTGGGTTCACCCTCTTTTCATTCCTTCCACTTACCAAGAAGCACAGCTGTGGCCAGTTGTGGATAAAATATCTATAGGTATAAATGGAGTAGGGTTCTGACAGATCTTTGGTGATCAGTCTCATGATATCCGGCATTTGTAGCTCAGATTCATATCGGACATATCGTATCGTCCGATCCTCCCCAGGCTCAGCCTCCCTGCCCGAGAGGCTTCTCAAACTGCAGCCGGCAGTCAGGGACGAAGACAGCAGCCGCACCTGCTCGTCTTCCTCCTCCTCCTGCTCGGTGCCCTCGGTGAGTCCATTGCGGGCCGCCGCGGGGTCGCTCGCCGCCGCCGCCGCCTCTGCCGGGCTGGGGACCGCAGTTCTGGCATTATTGGGGAGGGAATGGGAGAGCCTCTCGCCCGAGTGTACCCCGGTTCCTTTTGTTGCAGTCGCTCTAGAGCCCCCATCAGAGGTGGCCGTGGCCGCCTCGGCTGCACCCAGGACCTTGCTCTTGAGGGAGGCGGCCGCCCGGAGGTGCCGCAGTTCGGGGCTAATCAGTCCGTTCAGCTGCTGCTGCTCCTGCGACGGCTGAGGGCAGTGGAGGCACGCGTGCTTCCTGGCCGCTGTCTCCAGGCCGCCCGCGGGGCTCCTGCCGCCGCCGCCTTCGTGTTCCTCGTCGTCCTCCTCGTCCTCGCTGCAGCAGGCGAGGGCGGCCCCCACCGGGAAGGGGCAGCGGGGCTCAGCCGCCGCCGGGGCCGGAGGTGCTGGTGGTGGGAGGAGGCTGCTAGGCCCAGGCGGTACCTCCGCCATCCTAGAAGCGACATAGACCGAGAGGGAGGCCATGAGACCCGACGGCCGAGCGCGGGGAAGAGGGGGCGGCAGGGGCGGGGGGAACAAAGGCAGAAACCGTCCCTCCCGGAGCTGCCCCCCCAATTCCGCGCCGCCCCCACCCGCTCTTCAGCGCCTCCCAGC